CTCTCTCTCTCTCTCTCTCTCTCTCTCTCTCTCTCTCTCTCTCTCTCTCTCTCTGCAAATGGCAGAGGAGGCTGGGAGCCGCAGGAGAAGGCTCAAAGAGCCACATGTGGCTCCGGAGCTGCGGGTTGCCGACCCGTGGTTTAGGGAATGTCTATGTTGGTGTTCTGTTTATAAGGGCTTCAGATGTGGGTGTGCCAAGTGAAGGTCTTGCGATGGGTCAGGTGTGGGTCATCAGTGAAAGGCCTGGGATGGGTCTTGTGATGGGGAGGTTACATCAGGTCAGGGTCCTTGGGAGGTGAACTGCTGGTTGAGGGAGGATTGTGCGGGATGGTTGAGGGTCAGTGTTATCTCTGGTTGGCTGTGCGAATGATTTGGATCCTGAGGGGTTTATAGGCTGGTTGTAGGTCGATGTGTCTGTGGGATGGAATTGCTTGTGGAGGGCCAGGCGTTGATGAACTCACGAGTGTGGTGGGTGGTAGTGTGGCCAATGATTTTTGTGCTGCTTCAATTGAACTGGTGTTGTTTGGTGTCAATGTGGGTAGAGATTAAGGATTTGGAATCATGGCATTTGACTGCCAGCAGTATTCATGGATCCTGCTTTTTCATGTGATATCATCACATACCTCCTATACCTCCTCTGCCATTTGCAGAGAGACAGAGAGTGACAGAGAGAGGCACTTGCACTTCCCTTCTCTCTCTCTCTCTCTCTCTCTCTCTCTCTCTCTCTGTGTGTGTGTGTGTGTGTGTGTGTGTATAAAAAAGAGAGTGGCCTCATGCTGTTCTCTGACAAGCTGACAAGCTTATTGGGCAGGGCTCCTGCCTTTGCTGCCTCTCCGCAGGAGAGAGAACAGTGTGAAGCCAGCTTCCCAAGTGAGTGGAAGATTGGAGAGAGGGAGAGAGAGAGAGAGAGAGAGGGAGGGAGGGAGGGAGGGAGACAAAGAGAGGGAGAGAGAGGGAGGGAGGGAGAGAGGGAGAGAGAGAGAGTACTCATGCACAGCAGCCTCTATTTCTTTATAATTAAACTCTTCAATCAAGCTCCCGCCCCCTCATGCATGCGTGCGAGCATGCGCGCCTGCAACTTTTACAGCTCCCAGTGTTTTCTTTTCTCTGGGAAATGGGTCCAAGTGGCTCTTTGAGTGTTTAAGGTTGCCGACCCCTGGACTAGACATACCCAATTCCTGCAACCGTTCTTCATATATTTTAGTCTCCAGGCCCCTAATCATCTTTGTTGCTCTTCTCTGCTCTCTTTCCAAAGTCTCAACATCTTNGCGCCTGCAACTTTTACAGCTCCCAGTGTTTTCTTTTCTCTGGGAAATGGGTCCAAGTGGCTCTTTGAGTGTTTAAGGTTGCCGACCCCTGGACTAGACATACCCAATTCCTGCAACCGTTCTTCATATATTTTAGTCTCCAGGCCCCTAATCATCTTTGTTGCTCTTCTCTGCTCTCTTTCCAAAGTCTCAACATCTTTTTTATAAGGTGGTGTCCAAAACTGGATGCGGCAATCCAGGCGTGACCTTACTCTCTGTAGATGGCATGAACATGGCTGATCTCATGCAGCAGAGTTTATAAAACATGTAGGGGGGTGAAAAGTGTCTGCCATCTTCATGTTTTTGATTGCATTCTGATGAGACCCTTGATATTAATCTGGAATACTTACGATGGAGCAAGCTTTATTTTATTTGTGAAATTTATTGGCTTACCCAGGGCAAGATTATGATTAAATCAAAACAATCCGCTGTTTTTTTTTCTCCACAGGCTCACTGCAACAATCCCTCCTTTTTCCCTGGCTCCTGCTTTTCCTGACCAAAGTAGCCGTCTTTCTTTTCATCTTTTCCGTTTTCCTAATAAAGAGGTTTGGATGCAACAGCCAGAGCTGAAGAAGCTTCTTGGATGAGAAGCGAAACGTCTTCAAAGAAAAAACAAGAAAGTCTAAGTTGCCTTTTGAAAAAGCAGCTTTGGGACAACTACAACCTGGATGACTGAGAATCCCCCCAGAGATAAATGCTGATTGCTTATTTTTTTAAAAAACAAAACAAAACAAAACAAGAACATTAAAGTAATTGTTCTTTCAACATGCATTTAAACAATTAAGAAATAAATCAAAAGCGTTTGCTTACTGAACTTATAAAGGAGCAAATATAAAAATCATTTCATTTGGGGCCGTGGAGATGCTTTTGAAATATGAAGAAGTAATACAAAATGTTATATATTCGCATTCAACACTTTGCCTGTGCTATTTGTATCGATGGGGTGGGGGAAATTGCCTGGAATGACATCACTCAATCAATTTATGGGTAAAAAGAAAGATATAAAAAAAGATGGATAGACAAAAATCCCTCTTTCAAGTTTATTCCATGAAATAGAATCTTTCTCTTCTTCAAAATATCTGTTGGGAAGGTGTGGGCTTTTCTTTCTTGAAATTCTGACAAGAGATTTCATTCAGGACGATTATCAATTTTCAATTTCAAAATAAAGTGACAATCTAAAACTTGTTTTCTTGTTCTTCTCTTACAAATTGGACTAATGCAACTCTCAGAACTTTCCTGATTGTGGCATATTGGGAATTTATTCTGTAAATCTTATGTATTTCTAATTCAATATCTTTTTTCCTGCTTCCCAGTCTGCTGGTTGAGCCAAAGATTTAATCATTCTTGATTATATATATCTTCTCCCAACTCAGGGACAGTTTGGAATCCGTAGCTGAAGTTCTTAGTCCTGTAATTCCAATAGGGATTTATTGCGCAACTCAGCTTCATGTTGAATGTCTCTCTTCTCTATTTTATGCTCCAAAAATTCACTCTTATCATTTATCTGTTTGACTTCTCCACTAAGCTCACATCAAGATCACATGAAATGTTAATTCCACTTTACAATGCCTTGGTAAGGTCACACTTGGAATACTGCATCCAGTTTTGGTCACCATGATGTAAAAAAGATGTTGAGACTCTAGAAAGAGTGCAGAGAAGAGCAACAAAGATTATCAGGGGACTGGAGGCTAGAACATATAAAGAACGGTTGCTGGAATTGGGTCTGTCTAGTTTAATGAAGAGAAGGACGAGGGGGGACAGGATAGCAGTCTTCCAATATCTCAGGGGCTGCCCCAAAGAAGAGGGAATCAAGCTATTTTCCAAAGCGCCTGAAGGCAGGACAAGAAGCAATGGATAGAAACTAATCAAGGAGAGAAGCAACCTAGAACTAAGGAGAAACTTCCTGACAGTGAGAGCAATTAGCCAGTGGAACAAACTGCCTCCAGAAGCTGTGAATGCTCCAACACTGGAAGTTTTTAAGAAGAAACTGGACAGCCATTTGTCCAAAATGGTATAGGGTTTCCTGCCTGAGCAGGGGGTTGGACTAGATGACCTCCAAGATCCCTTCCAACGTTGTTGTTGTTGTTGTTGTTGTTGTTGTTGTTGTTGTTGTTGTTGTTGTTATTATTATTATTATTATTATTATTATTATTATTATTATTATTATTATTATTTTAAGCTGATGAATCTCCTATCAACTTTTACTTCAATCTTTGCTTCCATTGCCTGAATTACTTGAATATTTCCAAAATATTTCTTAGGGCTTCAGGTTTCTCTAAA